CAATCCTCTGCTTTGCAGAGACGTTCATCGTTTGTTGAGTCGCCAAGCTTTGCGCAAACACGAGGCAAATTCTTAATCCCTTAATTAGTTCGTCTTATCCTTGTGACGAGGTCAGCAAGAGGCTAAAGACTCACTGTTACCGCTGCCGCCCAGGAAGGAATAATAGGGAGTGGCGAGGCAAAGCGACATATGGCGGGCCGAAGGTGATGGCTGATGGCCGGTCGGTTTCTTCGGCACAGCTACGAGGCAGTGGTCAAACAGCAACGGCTACTGATCGCACGTGCAGGCTGACAAGGAAAGAGTGAGGAAAGCGAAGAAGTTGAGGATGGTCAAGCCATGTTTGAGTTTTCAACGTTCGACACCCGCAGCGTAGCGTATGGGTACTTCGTATGACCGACCGCAGGTGGACGAACTGGCGGGCTATTCGACGTCGATTAAAGTAAACATATATCTGCTCGATTATCCGAGAAGCACAAGTCGATAAAGCTTATTAACTGCAAACGTTCAGTCGGCTCGGTTGGCTCTGTGTCCAGCCGGCAGGCCATAAGCTGACACGGGTGCCTTTACAGATGTTCTGCAAGCAGGCAAGCTGGCACGTTGTCTGTCAACAGAGACAGCGTCGTCTTGACGGCAGCGGCGAACGAACGGATAGGCGAAGAGACGGAAAATCTTGATGGTTGACAACGACGACGACGAATAGCTTCAGTACGAGGGTTGACTTAAGTTAGGCTTGACGACGACTAAACATCGACGGAGTGACAGAGGGAAGGACGCGAGCCGCCTCGATCGCTTCATCATCACCTTTCGAGAAGGGCATCGAGAGCAGTTCGTCATTGGGGGGTTTATGGGCGTGTGCCGTTTACAGAGCACGTTTGAGGATAGTAGAACAAGCCTGAGGCGTGTGTGTGTGTGTGTGTGTGTGTGTGTGTGTGTGTGTGTGTTAGGCACGAAATAAACGGAGAATCTGAGGAGTAGGCAGCGGCGGACAAGGAGAAGGAGGTGCGAGAGGGCGGCGCACTGCAACAACTGGCAAGTATGATTAAAATGTACCACTGTACTTGAAGGGGACACAGTGACATATCGCCGTTAATGAGTCCACAATTGAACGAGAAACCGATCCCATTCGTCCGACGTCGAGAGGCACCGTTCCCTCTTCGCGTAAAACAACCCAGATCGGCACTTTCCGTTGCTTGTTGTTCGAAGTTATTCGCTGAATGCCTGAATCTTAGACGCCTGCGAGTAGTTCAGTTATCGATTGTAACTTATGACTGAAGAACGTTCGTGAGGAACACTATACACTCATTTTGTAACATAAGTTCCTGGACATTTTCGAGTCTTGCTAGGCCCATTGTCAAGGCAACGTTGCTGTCTGGATTGTCGCGTGCCACACAGTCTGTCTCAGACGTTTGACTGACGTCGGCGAGACACGGACTGTTTATAGTTCTGCAAATAGTCTGTTTTGTTTGCTAAGCTAAATCGTCACTGTTTCTTTATTTTATTTGCGCATTTGTGTTTTATTTTCGAACGGTGAGACTTTGTGGAGATGTTGTTCAAGAAGTAAATTTCGAACGTCACGACAGAGACAGCGTCGGTGTGCTTTGAGTTCGACCGTCTCCAGAACTGAGCGAGGAAAGCAAATGATTAATTTTGCCGTACTTACTGCTGCAGCTGCATTTCCTTGGTCTCCTCCGCCTTCTGTCGTTCGAGCACCTCCTCGATAATACGACGTTCTTCGTCAGTCAGGTTGCTGAGGTCGGGCATCGTCGCGTCAGTCATCGTGACCGGCACCGGCGTTCGGTTGTTGGCTTCGATTCGGTACGATCTGATGCGTTTGGAGCCGAGGCGCGGTCGGTCGGACCTTAGTCAAGGATGAGCGACGGCCAGGGCGACGATGAACATGCGGAGCGGATGAGGAAGAGGATGCGGATGAGGATGAGGATGAGAACAGGAACCTGATCGATCGATAGACACCGCACGGACCAATAACGCAGTTTGCGGCTACGGCTGATTCGACGACGGTGACGACGACGATGTGGCTGTCGATGACCAGCACCAAGGCGGCAGCAAGAAGCGCCGACGACGCGGACACGTCGCGCAAGGCGGCAGTTGTGTCGTCGGCGGCGGTGAAAGTGCAATTTGTGTTGTCGGACGCGCGAACGAGTGACAACCTCCGTCGGTCACCTGAGGCGCGTGTTCAGCGACGGTCGTCGTCGAGGCACACCACCTCCGCTGGACGAGGAACAACGACGCCGGCCGATTCGGCGAGCGGGTAACGGGTAACGAAGAAGACGCCTCGACAGCGCAGCAACGATACGACCGACGCAGCACCGAGGCACCTACAAAGCCAAAGCTGACGGACGTTCAAGCCGATGATGTCCAAGAAGCTGATGCTGAAGCTGAAGCTGAAGCTGATGCTGAAGCTGAATCCGGCAGCGCTGGCGAGCACGACGCTTGTCGCGCACTGTTTGCCTAAAGCGGACGACTGAAAATCATTGACTACAAAATCGATCGCATATAGCGCCTCATTTCACCAGTCAGTTTGCATCTGTTAGCTTGTACGGGTATTTGCGAACAAAACACACGTTATTGAC